AACCAGACTGAATTTTAAACATTCGCTCCGACAAAGGGCTAACGTTTGAAAAATCAGCTTTTGTAATCGTTACAGTGGCCAATTTGCCATTTCAACTTTGTTGATATATCCAAATTATTTTGTTACTTGCACCGACGCCGCCCCAAACAGTTTCTCTCGAAACTATCAGCCTTTATTCATTTGAATTTTAAACAAATCACCCTGCTATTCTTACACATTGGTTTGGAATTTTTTATCTTTTTGTTTTTTTTTGATGAACTTAAGAGAAGCTATGCACAATTACAGCATTGGTTCCATTATCAACTATGTTTAAGTATAACTGACCATCTTCTAGTTCACAATTTTCTACCTGGCAACATTTACCTCTCGAGCAACGACTTGACAAAACAACAGAGCAGAGGCTTACCATTTTGATTTACGTTATCTGGAAAAGAGTGATACAGATGGAAAATCGTTACTTAGAGCATCGCTGAGCTGGGCTCCATGCAAAATGAACCTCAACAAATTTTTAACTGTACCTGTTCAAACACTGAAAAACTCACCATGAATGAGAACAAGATGAGAATTTTCTTTTCCACTGATTATATCTCCTAAAAGCATTTTTTTCTATTGTTTTAATTTTTTTTTTAAGTGGACAAATAGAACTGTGGCGCAATGTCCACGCGAGCCGCCATTTTGGACGCAAAATTGGAGTAAACCTGGGACCAGACAGAGCAAAATTAGGCAAAATGGTCAGCGGGGATGTAACCTAGCAACAGTGCGTCCATGACGACACATTTTCATTGAAACGAAACAAATACTTCTTATTCCACTTCTAATTACTTTTTCCAAAACTTCGAGAACAAGAATGGAAGAACACGCGGATGCGAAATGGAATTTACCGGAATGGAAAATAGAGCAGAAGTACAACACAGATGTACTGATCGGGAATTGGAACGAAGAACGACGAGTGGTAGGTAGTACTTCATACCTTTTAGCAGGATCGAGCATGCCATCATGCGCATGTTGAAATAATTTCTCGGCACAATAGAACCCAACAAGCTGTGAATAATTAGCTGCGTAATATCAGCTTGTTAAGTTACCCTCTTCCTTTTTTTTTTTTTTCAATGCTTAATCAGCTACATCTGAAAGAATTCTCGCAACTAATTTCCGATACAAACTATAAAAAGTCACACGCAATTATTTGCAATTTAATTTTAATGCCCATTGTTGAAATAATTTTAATTCAAACGATTGAATTGTGTATTTGTTTAAACAGCTGTAGCAATGATAATCGAAACATCTCCTTTGGAGAAGAGCCAGAATCGAAGATTAAAAATATGAGTAACTATCATATCACCCGATTAAACATACCTTTTTCAGATGTGTCTTACTTACCTATTGTTCCCCAAACATCTGGGAAATATTTTAATACTGAATTCCTGATACGCTGGTACGCTTGCAGTCGCTCAGATGGAGGAAACAAATCCACCGAATAAACGAGAGTTTTAAATCAAGAATGAAGTACATTATTTAGTTTATAACCTCGTTAAATTGAAGAGCAGTTTTGGTAATTATTTCTAAGTTCTGTACATGAATTTTTTTCTGTTTGCTTTTAAAATAAATATTTTTTCTCTGAAAACAGCAGGTAGGATGCATATTGCATATTTCTCATTCTAACAGGCTTCCAGTACAGATATTTCTAAATTTTACTCTTCATTTCTTTTGTCATCAATAGGGGCACTTCATTCTCCAGTAGTTTTAAAACAATTAGTTACAAATGCATCCCCACAAAATTGTTCAGTTCCCAACTGACCGAATTTTTGAAAGACAGAAAAAAAGAACCAGTTAGATGAATACAGTTTTCTTGGTGGGGCCTTTAGAAGTGCCAAGTTTCTCTTCCAAGAACACAAAACTTAATTAAAATTCAATTTCTCATTTATAATATTGTTGTGATTTTTTTTTTCAGTTTGAGCGTGGTGACTCCCACTTTGGCAGTACTCACAGAGTAGACTTCAAAAATTATGGAAAATTCCTACCAGATGTCACAACCAGAAGAAAAGCTCTTCAGCAACATAATGTAAGTTATTTAAAATTCAAATTACAATTAAGTCAGTTTCTATCAACATTGCAGTCAAATTTTCATCTTTTTTCGTTGCACTGTCTAAGAACACACAGTGCCCTTAAAAACAGTTGTCAGTGATGGACTGGAAATTCTAGCCCTGGCTCTGGTTGTTACAAGGTTGAATTGAACCACTCAAAAGATAATTAACAGCATGATAAGTTGCCAAACTTATTCTTTCACTCCCAGGATCTGTTACCTTTTTCTCCTAACTACAGGTGTCCATAAGTTTCTTTTTTGGCTGTTAGTTAGAATTTTTAACCTAATTTAAGACAAGGTCCACAATCATTTTGAGAATAGGTTTTTTTTTTTAATTCCTACTGACTCCCTGTTTGCCAGTCTATCAAATTTGTCCCCTTAATTTGGGTAAAAAAAAATTGCAGAAGGAAGAAAAGCAGGCGGGTGTACACGTAGAAAAAAAAAACACCCCCACCCCACCCCCCTTAACTCAAGGTCTGGATTCACCATTGGATATCCACCCTTTGTACAATTAAAGCCTCATAAAAAAAAAGGAAAAAAAAAACCCCAGAAATTAGCAGTGTACTCTTGTAAAAATAATTTTTATTTTTCAATGTTGATTGATTTTTTCAGGGGCTAGGAAAAGAGTTCATTTTTTCCCACCATCAAAAAGCGTATGTGGGCAACAGAATATCCTGGTATGACCAACAGTTTAACAAGCGCGAGATTACAGAGTCAAGGCTACCCCCGCTGAGGAGCTGGGATAGGCAAAAATTGGCCTGGGCACCAGAAAAATCTGATTACCCTACCCAAGGTTTGTTATAAGACATAATTTGAATATATCAACTAAGTTGAGATGGTAAATTGGCCACCGTTTCAGTTATAAAAGCTGATGTTTCGAGCGTTAGACCTTCGTTGGAGCAAATAGAGAAATAATGTGGGTTGTGCGTGCTTTTAAAGGCAGAAAGTGGAGCTACGGGATTGGTGGGAACATGGCAGCGAGAAAAACACGAATAAATTAGTGGAATGAAAAGCGTTCATTGATACCTGGGGGATTTAGACTGCCGGTTTGAAAGATGAGCTTTTGTTCAAGAGTTTTGTGGCTTTCCGTGCTACCTAAGTGTAAGGAAAGACTGCAGATTGCCATATGTTGCTTAGAATTATTGTTATAAGACAGTTAACCCTCCACTCCCAAAGAGGAATTTCTCTTTTATGAACACATTGTTTAGAAGTAGAGGGATAGTAAAATAAGGAAAAAGTCAATAAAGGAATATCCTTTGATTTAACACTAAATCATCAGAGCATGGGTAAATTATAAAAAATACATCATGGACCATGCAAATAATTTTCATTTTACGTTTTGAACTAAGGAGGTTAAAATTGCTGTAGTGATTTCAAAACAGCCAAATGGTACTCACTCCTCCCCTTCCAGCTTGCCACTGGTTGTATTTCAATTATTTTTCAAAAAATTACTGGTTATCAAAATTGGAAATTTAAAATTGTCTCATTTTGGTTCATCCTCGGTGTAAAAACCTAACGAGGTTTTGTTTGTTTCATGAGGTATTGCTTTGCTGTACGCTATTGTTTTTAATGTTTAGTTGTCTTTGTTTTGTCACTTGTGAGCTTCACAGGTTTTTACACCAAGGATGAGCCCTCATTTTTGCATTTAATTTTAAAACTGCATTCCTGTTTATATAAACCTTTACACAACTAATATCAGGGCCCATATTCTCCATACTGTCCTCTAACATTTGCTAACTTAAAGGTGCAAATGCAGCCCCAAACAGTTTCTTTAGAAACTATCAGCCAATGTAATAGAGCTTTAAATGCTTTGAGATAACTTTGGATGTCTTGTAGATTTGCTGGATGGATTAAATTCTCTGGGGCTATACTTGATCTTTAAACCATGACAGCTAGGTTCAGTGAAAGAACAAATATAGCATAGGGAGGTGTAAATTAAAGCAGCTATTATAGATTTGAAGCTTCTTTGATGACTTAGGTGTTTACTTTCTGCAAAAAGCTATCCCTTAGTTATTAGTACACGAAGTAGAAGGATGGAGGCATTATTAGGGACTTTAAGCAATCAGGATGGCAACGCCGATTAAAAAATGAGTTTCTACTTTAAGTTAAAATTTCAAAAATGGCTGTGTTTACTGTCTCATAAGGCGCCAGACCTCAAACTCAACATAACGCATAAAAGTAGTGTTGAGTTCCAAATGTAAACTAAAATAATTTGCCGCTGCGGTTTGGCATTGTAGACCATGCAAATTTTGGTGATTTCACGTTGTTGTTTTGCAAAGGACGGCTAAGAAATGTACAAAGTTTTAAAACGCAAGTGCTGGGCTATTGTTGTGCCAATTAGATCTATTGTTTTCCTCATTCTCGTTGCCTAAGCCGTCGTGGTTTGCTTAAAGTCCCTATTGTGTGCCCACCTCCCTGCATCTATCACTATTCCAGTGTCACCCTTGTTTCCACATTCAAATCAAACAGACCTCACCAGGTTACATCAAGTGCACTTGTATTAAAAAATGATTTTGTTCCTCTTCAACAAATACCTAGGACCTCCTACAAACTACGGGCTTCTGCAGAAACTTCAACAGAAGTGGAAGGATGAGGCAGCTTTGGAAAAACTTGGAACAAATGTGTCCACTTACACTGTGTCATTCACCCAAAATCCAAAGGAATCATTTTCATTTCAACACTATGCAAGACCCAAGAGTCTCTCATGTCACTTCCATCCACACAATGTCAACAAAGATCTCCATTTACGGGGAAAACAGCTTAGCGCTGCTCCAGAATTTCCTCCATCTCTTGCCATTCCACATAATGTCCCTCCCAACTTTCCACAGTCAACCATACTAGCAGTTTAAAATAATTTCATTTAAAAAAAAAAACATGGAATTTTATGTATATATATATATATGACGTGTCACTTAACTGTGATAGCTCTTAGCTTTGGCAACAACCGCTCTCAACACTAATTTATTCATGTGCTTAATTATGATGTAAATAAATAAGCGTGAAAATACACTGTTTGGATTGTCTCATTGAAAGTCACTCACAGACCCTTTGCCGGTTGGCTTAAAGAGTTGCTTGACATGATGGCTGTAGCAAAGAGAGTTCACTCATTGTCTTACATCTGCTGATGTAGAAATGGTTACTACTAAATAATACAGTAACAAACTTACAGTGATTGATATGAACAAAACTGTGAGGTTATAATTGGTAATTAGGGATACACAAACAAAACGCATAAAAGACTGGAAATAAGTCAGCAATTAAAATTACATCTTGACTTTGCCACAGAAATGATACTGTTAGGAAAATGTCTAGCATTGTCAGAACTCGTAAATCCTCTTTACAAATCATTACCACAACAATTTAAGTAATGACTGTTATGCAGACTTGAAATTAGAAATACTATGCAGTTGCAGACTCTCTTCTTTAGAAATGTGAGATTTTTTAATTACTGTTATAACATAACCAAAGTAAAGCGCGCGCTCTGATTGGTCAATTTATGTAATGACTGTTATGCAGACTTGAAATTAGAAATACTATGCAGTTGCCGACTCTCTTCTTTAGAAATGTGAGATTTTTTAATTACTGTTATAACATAACCAAAGTAAAGCGCGCGCTCTGATTGGTCAATTTATGTAATGACTGTTATGCAGACTTGAAATTAGAAATACTATGCAGTTGCCGACTCTCTTCTTTAGAAATGTGAGATTTTTTAATTACTGTTATAACATAACCAAAGTAAAGCGCGCGCTCTGATTGGTCAATTTATGTAATGACTGTTATGCAGACTTGAAATTAGAAATACTATGCAGTTGCCGACTCTCTTCTTTAGATTAAAGAAATGTGAGATTTTTTAATTACTGTTATAACTACATTTTAACATTTTTCTGTAATTCTGCACGATAGTCAACTTAT